GGCTTTATAGCCATATGAGTCAAGTGAAAGATGAGAATTGGAGCAGTAGGACATCATGGGTAATTCTCGGTTGTCGAGTGTGGTTATCGGAGGGTACAGTTGGTGCCCGGGTTGAGTAGGTGGTGGGGACACCGTATGGAAGGAGAAAGTGAGCTTCTAGTTCTATGGTTGTACCTTGAGAGACTTGGTTTGGTCAAGGTCAAGTGGCGCGTCGTGGGAGGTAATTTGAAGATGAAATGCCGAAGGCTTCGAGGACGAAGCCTAATTTAAGTGGGGGAGAATTGTAACATCCCGGAATCGCAAGAGTAGAGTTGAAGGGCTGAAAGTGTAAGTTTTAGAGGATGACTCGGCGAGTCCATGGATGACTCGGCGAGTCAGGTCGCGGTCATGGTCGCGTGTCAAGTGGCCTACTCGGCGAGTCCATGGGATGGACTCGGCGAGTAGGTGCTGTATGGAGAAAACCCTAATTTCCGGGGTTGAGCCCTATATAAAGAGCATTATACCCCTCCACAGCCTCCCTTATTTCCCCCTTGAGTTCCAGAAACCCTAAATACGTGGAGAGATCATTTGTGGAGCAAATTAGAGCTTGGAGAGGTGTTGTTTGAAGAGATCTTGAAGGAGAAGTGGCTTGGATCAAAGGGCTTTGCTTGGATTCGAGTTTGGCTGCTATTGAGGCATCTTTTGGAGGTAATATCTTCGTCCTTAGGCTGTGCATTCCTAGTTTCATCATTTTGGGGTTTGTGGGGAGTATGTCTTGGAATGTTTTGGAGTTTGGAGGATAGATCTGAGGTTGCTACCTCAGATCTGGAATATTGAAGGCCTAGAGTGCATTAAAGTTCCTGTGTTTGAATGCTTAGTGGATCCACCATGTCCCAAACCTTGGTTTTAAGGTGAATATGGCTTAAATCTCGTTAGATTCACGTAAAGTTTGCCACTTTACGTGATGGATGGATTGTAGGAGGTTGGATCTATGTTTTGGATCAATTGCATGGCCTGAAATGCTTCTGTATGGATTCAGATAGGTGGTACTCGACGAGTCACATGGGTGGACTCGACGAGTTGCTTGAAGATGGCCTGGGACTCGACGAGTTGGAAGAACAACTCGGCGAGTAGGTTGAAGATGGCCTTGGACTCGACGAGTCCATTTGGACTCGGCGAGTCTTGTCGAGGGAGTCCCAATATTTCTGGTTGAGTCGATGAATCGGTGAGTCAAGGGATGACTCGGTGAGTTGGGTGCGAGTGGACTCAGAGTTGTTGGACTCGACGAGTCTTGGGGTGACTCGGCGAGTTGGGTCGCTAATTGAGGGAAGTTCTGAGCATAAGGACTCGGCGAGTCATCGGGATGACTCGGCGAGTAAGGTCAGTCAGGGGTTGACTTTGACTCGTCCAAGGTTGACCAGTTGTCTTCCAGGGGTATTTTGGTAATTAAGGGTATTTATTGAGTTGTATGTTTTGATGTTTAGTGGAGGAGTTCGTGCCAGAGTTCGGAGCAGCAGGATCTTATCTTTTCAGACGGCAGTTTTGAGGTGAGTTATCCTCACTATATCAACAGGGTCTAAGGCACCAAGGCCGGCCCTTTATTGTATTGAGATTCGGTTATGGATATTATGTTATTGTTTGATGTGTCTGCATCCTGGTAGCTAGGATGGTACATGCTAGGAGGCCTTGTTAAGGTCAGTTTTCCCGATATACAGAGTGATGCTATGCTAGTGACCGGTTAGGTCGGTAACCCGGTTAGGGTAATGATATGCTATGTGATCTGCTTGTTCGGTTTGTTGACTATGACTGTTATATGAATGTATGTTTTGTGCACATGGTTGTTTGGACTGGAGATGGGTTGAGGCGGGTCCTGCTTTGTGCTGTAGGCCAAGATACCCAGGGCAGACCGGTTGTTCCGAAGGCCCAGCGAGCGGTCCGGATAGGCTGTAGGCCCCACGAGGGCGGACCAGACGTGCCGAGGCTCGGAGAGTGGACCAGGCCGACTGAAGGCCCGATGCGGGCGGACCAGTCACACTGTAGACTCAGAGAGTGGACCAGGTGGGTTGAAGGCCCGATGCGGGCGGACCAACCCCACTGTAGACTCGAAGGACATGACTAGACCCGGAGGATGGATCCGTTGGACTGAAGGCCCGATACGGCGGACCAGCCACACGGTAGACCCGATATGCATGGCTGTTCTATGTTCTGTTATGTTATGTATGATTTATATGTTTTGGACCTGAAGGTCGTAGCCTGGAAGGGCGTATACGTGGTTGGTATTATGGGGGTATCTCACTAAGCTTTCGGGCTTACAGTTGTGGTTTAATGTTTTCAGGTTCTTCAAGAGGCTGTGGCAAGGCGAAGGCGCGATCGTACCGCTCCTCATGCATTTGTAGCAATGCGATTCTGGGAATACTCTAATGACTTGTATTGAAAACCTTTTTGTAAACATTTCAATGAAAATCAGGTTGTTTTGAAAATTTTAAATTGGTTGTATTTTTCGGATGTTACAGTAAGATGCGAAGTTAGTAGAGCCCGACTCAGATCATCATATCAGTATTATGTACGATCATTTTGGTAACTTTTTGTACTTATTTATTAATACAAATGTACATCGGATTTACTATGATTTATGATTGAAAATGAAAATGTATTAGGTGTACTTTGTATTAAAATATGGGTGTACACCACTACGGTGAATATATTTGACACTTTTATTTTTTCTTAAACCATAATGAGTTACCGTCATTAACAAATCTTCAACGCCAATCTGGTAACAAAACAAAACACAGTTCAAGGGTGCCAAACTCCCACATCGATACCTCATTTGTTTTAAAAGCAGAAACAATATCCCATTAAGCCAATTGATCTTTGTTTGTTACTTTTCTATCCTAAAAAGTAATGTGATACTTTCCAACAAATGAAACACTTTTCCCACAACATTAAAGAGAGAAATCAAGTATATACTAAGGCTCCCCAAAACCATTATACTTTATGTAACGTTTAAGTTTACAAGTAAACAAGAGGTATACCAAACAATTAGATGGTACATGAAAATTTTCCAATGAATTACTAGTATATATGGGACAAACATCACTGTACTTGTTTATTTGGAATGGTAGCTAATTTTATATTTAGTTATTGTTTTTATGTATGTGACCAATAAATTATATATATATATATATATATATATATATATATATATATATATATATATATATATATATATATATATATATATATATATATATATATAGAAGTAAGTACAAATAAAACAGTAAATAGTGTAAAAACGTAAAAAATGTTATTATTATGCAATGAATGTTATATATATATATATATATATATATATATATATATATATATATATATATATATATATATATATATATATATATTGTTGAAGTAATTCTAATATGAATATTGATTTTTGCTTATTCATATATTCATTAGAATGTTAATATTATTTTATTATAAATTTATGTATATGCATTTTTATAGTAAATTCTAAGTTTAGTTTTAACATGTGAGTATTCATTTATTCATTGCTGAATAATAACATAAAATTGTGGATACAAAATTCATTGCAGAATAATAACATAAAAATAGTGTTTTTACGTTTTTTAATAAACTTGTATCGCCAACTAATTTTTCTAATTGTATACATTTTATCGATTTATATTTGGTTGATAACATTAGTTCCAAGACTAGCCAAGAAAATATCAACTTTCTTTTACAATTTTAGCCCAATTTTGAATATTTATTACATAACTTTTTCTCAATTATTTGACATTTTTTTATAAACTCATTTTTTACAGATTCCGTTGTAATTAAAAAAATCGCAAGCTACAAAAAACGTCATTAAAAAGAGGGAGCAAAAAGCAAAAAGTTGTCAAAAAGACTAATTTTATAAAAATTAAGTTGTAAAAACTGTAAACAAAAAGTGTTCATGATTTTATTTATTTATTTATTAAAAGGTAATTTTGAAAAAAGAATTTGTTTGTAAAAAGAACTAAGTTTTTTTTTTTAAAAAAAAAACATGTCAAAAATCAAATGGATTCTAGCTTAGCAGTATCCGGTGTTGTCATTTCAATGATCAATGGTTTAAATCTTGGTAGGGACATATGGAGATTTAGAAGTAGAATAAATTTTTAGTTCAAAAAAGAATTTTATGAAAAGAAAAAAAAAAGGTAAAATTAAAATTAAAGTGAAAATTATAAAGAAAAAAATACCTAACATGCCATATGATATGACAACTTTGATGGTTAGTTACTTATGAATGTAATAAAATATGTAAATAGTATTTTAGAGACATTTGAAATAGGTTGTTGGTCATAATGATCTTTTTATGTTAGTTTATTTGTCAACTATACAATAAACTATACATTAAATAAATAAATATATACAATTACAAATGTTGTTTGCAATTACAAGCATTATTTTTTCTTTCAAAAGGCAAAATGCAAGTAAAAGTGTTATTTTAAGATATGTATATAAAAAGACAAAATTGCAAGAATGGTTTCTGTGGTTGGTAAATTTATATGTTTTTGGTCCACAACGAAATATTGGTTCACTACTAGTCCAAAATTGGATCTTTCTATTGTTTTTAGTCCCTCACACTAACTAATGTCCATATGTGTCGTTACCTACAATAAAGACGATGATATTCTCGTATTTCCACCTCTATGTCATCGATTACTGCTATCTTGAAGTATATACATAGTTAGAGTTAATGACCCTTCACTCTCTACCTACTAAACCCATTTTCATGATCAAAAAACTCTAATCGTTCCTTAAACTCCTACATTTGATCATCAAATTCAATCGCAAGTTTGATCTAGCAGTATACTCCAAATGTGGGAAATCAGGCCAAGAAATAAGGGTTTTGATGCAATCCGCATTTACGGTAATGTACTTTGTTTCTTATATATTTGTTTGAAACAATAAAAAACTTTTACAATCAGTATAAAGTAATGTTTTTATGGTTTGGTTCATGATTCTTTACAAAAGGATATCCCACCATGTTCGCTATTGAGCTCCATCATGGAGGGAGGTTCATAAAATTCCTAGGTATAAGCTACATTGAAGGAAAATTAGATCACGTGGACCTGGTAGACATAGATGAGTTCTTTGTGCATGAGTTGGACGAGGTGATGCTAAAGCTTGGTTATGAGGTACCACTAGTCATTTACTACCACTATCAACTACCAAATGGAGATTTGGAGTTTGGTTTTAGAGCTCTAGGGAATGATGTTGATGTACTTAGTCTTACACAGTACATTAAACATAATATGATCATCAAGGTATATGTGACATCCCCAAAATCTCGACCAGAAAGAGCGATTTTCATTTATGCTTATAAAATAATTTCAGAGTAAATCCTTTTGATTTGAAAGAGTTGCAGAATTTGTTCCCAAAAACAAAACGTGATAAAATAATATTTTCCAAAGCATTTCATAAAATAAATTTATTTACATTATATAATCAAAACTCGGGATGTCATGTTCTGATACAGACCATAAAGCATAAACGATAACATTACAAGTCATTCAACAAATATATACATATACAGACTTGTAAACAAAACAACTTGATGATTCATCCATCTTATGCCCTTGCGCCACTTCCTGTAATACAAATAAAACTGAGTGGGTCAGACTTGGGAGCCTGGTGAGCATATAGGGTTTTCAACCCACAATAAATAATTAAATTAATTTTTTTCATCAACCAACAATAACCCAATTACCCATTCCTGTTATTCTCACTTTACGTCCCTAAAATAACTAACACAAGGGACCTAGTCTAAGAATATTTTATCGGGGCGACAACACATGCATTCGGGGTTTCCCGACAATATATGTCAAATAAGGCAACCATGAGGGGGATGGAGTATAGCGAATGAACACCCAAGTTCATTAACACCTACATGTGGCGAACCTGCTAGCGTTCCACATGAATGTCTAGAAAAGTCTGTGGTCGTCATCTAAACTCCGCTAGATGACTGAATCAAAAACAACATCGAGGCCTCTCATCTGTTTATCACATAACTATCTACCCATGTTCTACCTGACATATTAGTAGATAAAAATATATATTTTTATACATAGTTTAAAACCTGTATAACATTCTCATTCAATACATATTCCAAACAACAGATGAGACACATACACATAACACGTATTTCATAGAGAATAAATCATATCTATGAGATAGAAGAAAGTGAATATACATTCACACATATAACAACAAAATATACACATAACACGTATTTCGTATAAAATACTTCATAATTATGCGTTAGAAGAAAGTAACCATACACTCACTTGATCAGAAGATGATCGGACAGCACTACGACTTATAAAAGTAGTATTCTTCGGCAGATTTGGAAGATCTTCACAAAAACCGGACTCCTCGCGGGTAGAGCTTCGGCTCGGGAATTGCACTTCTCGGGATCTTCGGGGATCGGGAATGATACCGAGGCTTCGGGATAATTCTTGCACGAAAAACGATGCCAAAACACGAGAAAAAGGGAAGAAATGAGCAATGAACTCGGTTGCCCTCGACCTCCTTTTTTAGGGGCTGGAACTTCGAATTACGCTGGGCATAATATGAAATTACGCTGGGCGTAATGAGGATAGGGTCGCTGACTCCCCCCATGGATAATATCGGTTAATATATATTTAAATTAAATATCGAAAATATTTAATAAACTTCAAAAATTCATATCTTCCTCATACGAACTCCGTTTTCGACGTTCTTTATATCCACGTGTAGGTGAGACTACGATCTACAACTTTCGTTTAGACTCTGTCAGCTAATTTTGATTTTATTTTTATTATTTATTTTTAGTAGGCCGGGACAGGAAAACTCCGTTATAAATTCATAACTTTTTAATCCGACGTCCGTTTTCGACTATCTTTTTATCATTTTACTACTATTAACGAGACCTTCGATTCTCATTTAGATTGTTTCAGCTAAAAACCGCTCGATCTCAAATCGAGTATTCGGGTTGCATACTGCTAAGTCGAAACTTCGAAAAATCATAACTTACTCATACGAAGTCAGATTTTGGCGTTCTTTTTATGCACGCTCTCGGTTTAACGAACTCTACGACTTTCGTTTAGATAACTAAGGCTAAATATCGATCTAACGTAAATTTTACTTTTTACGTCATTCAGCGTTGCCGGTTCTGTCGCGAAACTTCGACAGGTCATAACTTCTTCATTATAACTCGGATTTCGGAATTCTTTATATCTTCGGAATCCTTGTTTCGACCACTACATATTTATACAAAGATATCGGGCTTATGTCATACTTTAATTTTGATTCTTATTTTATTCTTAATTCATTAAATTATAATAATTAAGAAAATAAACACATAATTCACATAATTCACATAATACTCAAATATTTCATCATTAATACTTCAAAAAGAGTTACAAGGGTTAACCTAGACTATTACATCAATGATAATGCCTAGCCTGGAAACGCGGGCGTTACAGTATACACTGAACATAATTAAACTAAGTTACTTACATACTTTATGTCTCCAAGAGTTAAACCTAGGGTCATAATTGAGGAAATAGAAGATGATGTGCCCATACCAAAATCAAATTCATTAGTGGTTGATTTGAATCTAGTAAACCAAAACCAGGAAGAGGTCCTAAATGTTGTATTAAGTTTGATAAGTTATGAGACACCAGAATACAATAAGAATATGAGATTGCAGTTAGTTGACGGGAGTCAATCACGAAGAAAGAAATTGTGTTTCAACTTGGAACACAATGCAACTTTTGGTGATCAAGATGCACAAGTTGAAATTGGTAATCAAGGTGCAACTATTGGTGATCAAGATACAGAAGTTCATGAGCAAGGTGCTACTCTTGGTGATCAAGAAGCAAATACAAAAGTGTATGATACCTTTTATGACCAGTCATTTAAATTTGAAGACTTTGATCCATTCTTTGGGCAATATACTTTTAATGAACCTAATGATCACAGTATGGGAGTTGGTACATGACTTGGTGAAGGTCAATTTGAAAGTGAGGGAGTTGGTGAAAGGGGTGGTGATGGAGGTAATAAAAGGGGTAGTGAAGGGAGTGAGGAAGATAGTGACTTTCTTGAAGATGAAGAAAACTATGTAACTGATGTTGAGGTGGACATTACTGATTTCTATATGAATGTTGATCTAGATGTTGAGTATGTTGACAAAGGAAAGGGTGTTGAGGATGTTAATGAAAATGTTGATATTGAAAATATTGAAAATGCTAAAGTAATTGACAATGATGAGTAGGACTCCTTAGGTGAAGATACTGATGATGAGAGTAGGAAAGCAATAGTAAAACAGTTGGTAAATGAGAAGAAGTGCTCTCTTGGTGAAGTTCATGCAGTTACTTTTCAAGTAGGTCAAAAGTATAAAAGTAAAAAAGAAATTAAGGACAAAGTCAACAAACTTGCCATTGAAACTAGAAGCTAGGCAGTTATAGCGATCCAAAATCAAATATTGGTAAAGGGCTGATATTTGAGATATAGGTTATCGCTGTGGGATATCGGTATTTTTATATCATCCATAATTAATATATAAACATAAAACATATATAAAAGTAATATAAAAATTCAAAAGTCAAAACTATCAATTTTCTAAACATAAACTTACGTAAGTCATGGAATCTTCCTTCAAGTCCATATCAACCAAGGCATCCAATTATCTTATCTAGATCTTCCACATCAACTCTAACATCATCATCATCATCATTTGAGAATTAAGTACTTAACACATCAACATGATCAAACCTATAGAAACTAGCAAGTTAATACTTAAGTATTTAACAATTAACATAACAATAAGATCGGTTAATACTTAACCATGAGTTTATGACCTAAAACTAACAATTAAGTACTTAACATAATAGCAGGTTCAGTTAAGTTAAGACCATAAGACTTAAGGCCATGACTAAAAAAAGCAATTAAAATTACATAACTGGTATCTGTGGCAACCCGAAATTTCCATTCTGAACAATCCATATCAAGCCAATAGAAGTTAGAACAGTTATAGTGAAATTTTAGACTTTGGGTATAAGTTTGAGTATTTCAGGTTTAGCACTTAAGGAGATATCAGGAGAGTGGATGCACTAGGGTTTTGTGCAACACTGTTATTCCAATACTCTATGATATTAGAGTTCATTCCGGGAATAAAATCTTAGGACTATATATAGAATTTTGAGCCATATTCATTCATTATTGACATTTCCAACTAGAGAAAAGCCATTTCTCTCTCACGGATCTTCGGGTTTTCATCCCAAATCATGAGTACATTTTTCTAGTTGTATTATACGACTTATAACATGTTTAATAACATAGATTACATAGCAAAACTTCAAGATTCGGGAGTTTACCGCCCAAGAACATCTTGGGGAGTAAACTCTTATATAAAGCTTATATGATGCCTAGTCCCTTCCACTTGTTAAATAATGAACTTAGGCTTGTATATAGGTGTATTTAATACAAGAAAACTTCATAGAAACACCAAAGTTTAGGTGTTCACGACCCAAGAAGTTCTTGGACCGTGAACTCCAAAAACAAGGACCAAAGAGTGCTTTTAACACTCCTAAAGCTTTGGATAATTACCTATATTTACTCCTAGTTAATTTAAGCTCTTTATAACATCAAAAACCCCTCCCAAAGTGAATTTACGGCCCTAATATGGTTCATGGGCCGTGAACATCAAACAAGGGCACCAAAGTGTGCCTAAGGCCTTCATTTGCCTTAGATAAATGTCTAGAAACTATCCTACATGTGCATGGGACTTGAAAGCATAAAAATACCCCTTCCATGAGAGTTTACGGTATTAAGCTCCAAAGGGATTGGCCTTGGGGCCGTAAACTCCTCAAAGGATGTTATTAGTGTCCTAAACCCTTCCAAGAATTAATCCACCAAGTTGGAATGCTTCTAGGGATCATTTAGAGCTTCAAAACACAAAATGACACCAAGCTTAGGAGTTCACGGCCGTAAAATCAAGGGTTTACAACCATAAACTCCTTGTGTGATGTTTATGGAAGAGTAAACTCATGTATAGGGTCCTTTGGAATCCTAAACCCATTTGCCTTGTCCCACAACAACTTAGATGCAATCCTTAGGGATTATAACACTTATATAAAAGTGTTTATTATGTTCTAGGATGTCTTAACATTTAAAATTAGTAGTTTAAGACTAATTGGGTGCATATATATGTGATTATATGTTCATTAGGATCATAGTGTGTGTACAAGTCCTCACTTGACACTTAACAATCCGACATCGTTCAGTACATCCAAACCACCATCTACAGGTGAGTTCATACCCCTTAATCAATGTTTTAAATGATTTTAAATGCTTTAATGGGGGGGGGGATACAAGTAGAAAACAACATGTTATTAAATCACTCATATGTATTTTATGACTGTGTTTCCATCCAGTAGATTTCACATACTACAAAATGTGATGCATGAAATGGTTTTCTATCTTAAAAATACTTTGTTATCAAATGTATTACTTTTGAAATGTTTATTTAAAATGACATCAAGTCACTCTTTATTATTGTTCAAAACTCTTAGATATCTTACAAAACCATTTTTACCTTCTTGAATAAAACTATACTTATACACGTATGTTCTTATATATGTATTGAGGTTATAGTTTTCATCCTTCATTTAGTTTCCCACACTCTTATGTAGCAAGGGTGTATTAACCAAATTGAACAACCAATTACGTTCCAATTAATTATCATAGGGATAGTTAGAAGATACAAAACATTATTCCTATTACAAGAAATCACACAAGAATCAGTTCATTCATGAGTCTATACCAGTACATTACATGATACACGAATACATTTACATATGCTTACATGATACATTACTACGTCTACATATGCTTACATGATGCATGAATACCTTACATGAATACCTTAGATGAATACTTTACATGAATACTTGTATCTCGATTCACGAGGATGATTTATTAGTACCTTCTGTTTAAATTGTCCTGCTTATCCTAGTTTAACGAGATATCTAGACGGGACTAACCATTCTGAATCCCAGCTGATTAGCACCAGTGGTTGATAAACATCTACGGATGCCTACGGTTATTACTTATACTAGGAGTACCTTTACGGGACTAACCATTCCTTGGGCCTATTGTTCGCTACAGAGGTTGATGAACATCTACGGATGCCTACGGTTAATACTTATATTAGGAAATCGATTACGGGACTAACCCTTCCTTCTCCCTGCTGGTGCTACAGAGGACAATTGGACAATCTTCGGATGTTCATTACGTTATACATTTCGCTTTTCACGATGTCGTGTTAATCCTAATACAAAAGGATAACAATTACATTAGTACATTTACCTATTACTTTATTTTGTGATACATTCGCATAAACAATGGGTTAGACTAAGTGCTTTTAGTAATAGTCAGAAGAAAGGAAAAACTATCATTTTATTTACAAAACATTTGGGTCTTGGTAGAAGACTACATTTCATACTAGTAGGAAATAAGGGATTTTCTAGGGTTTTTCATACTTATATCAACTGTTTCATTTAAAGATTTACATGGCATTCATAAAAACTTTTCAAAACAAGACAATGACACTTAAATACTTATGAATTCACCAACTTTAGGCTGATACTCGCTTTCAAAATAACTTGTATTCTCAGGTCACCGGTTAGACAGGTACGATTGCCAGGTTTTGAGAAGACGGAGCTCAGACAAGACTCGTCTTATTTTGATTATTCATTTTATTGTTGTACATTATGAAAGAACACACATGTATTAAAACTTTACTTTTAATGCAATGGATGATGTTGTTGCTTGTTTACTACTTTACACTGTTATGATACTTCACATGACGTCCTCCACCCCGGAACGTTTCCGCCATTCTTGGTTTTGGGGTGTGACAATATCTCACTTGGAAATCACCTGGATATATCAATAAATATCGGTTAAGTATCGGTAAATATCACCGATTTTTGCGGTCCGATTTTTTGAACCGATATTTCACATCGCTATTTTGAAAAGTACCGATAACCGATATCCCACCTGGAAATCACCTGGAAATCGCCGATATTAACTTCTTAGACTAGAAGGATCTTTCTTTCAAGGAAAATGACAAAATGAGGCTTAGGGTGATGTAAATGCAAGTGGGGTAGGTAAGTGTAATAAAGTGAATTCCTCTTGGTCAATGCAAACTTCAAGGTCAAGAGATAGTGATTATTGGTATGCGAAACTTTATTGGACAAACATACTTGTGTTCAAACTATAAAACTTAGGGTTGCACTGCGAAATATATATCCATGGAAATCTTAAACTTGGTCGAGTCTAACCCTACAGTACCCCTTAGAAGCATTCAAGACCAAGTTCAGAAGAGGCTTTAAGTGTGTGTGTCCATACACAAAGTGCAAAGGGAAAAAGCAATAGCTACAAAGCAGGTGACTTGTGACTACACAAAGCAATACGATGTGTTAAGAGATTATCTTCTGGAACTACAAGCAGCTAATGTGGATACAACTGTTAAGCTTGAGGTTGTTAATGAGCCTAACATTGCTAGAGAAACAAGGAAGTTTAAGATGGTATATGTTTGCTTATGGGTAGGGGTGGCAATTGTTGACATGACACGACAAAAATAAATGACACGAAACGAAATTGGTACAAAACTGAAATTTGAATTCGTGTCCGTTTCATGTTCGTGTTAAGTGTAACAAACACGATGTCGTGCCGTGTCATGTTCGTGTTTAAAATTCGACACGAAATTGACATGATTTAGCATTTATTTGTCATTTTTTTCGTGTTTGTTGTGTTTTTCGTGTTACGTATGATTAAATATTAATTAAATAAACTAATTTTTCATTATGTTATATTTGTCGTGTCGTGTCGCGTTTGTCGTTTTTTAATCGGTTCGTTTTCATGTTAGTTAAAAAAACACAACATCGTGTCATGCCGTGTTCGTGTTACATAAAACATTGTCGTGTCGTGTGGTGTCAGACAAAAACACGACACGAAACCTGATTTTCCACCCCTACTTAGGGGCATTGAATAAAGGGTTTAAAGCAAGGTTAAGAGATATTCTTGGACTAGATGGTGCTTTTATGAAAGGACCATTTCTAGGCCAAGTACTCACTGGAGTTGGATTGGATTCAAATAATGGCATATACCCAGTGGCATATGTCATTGTTGAGACTAAAAATTTGAGTAGATGGAAATGGTTTCTAGAATGCTTAGGAGATGACTTAGAGTTGTGTGACAACCGTCAAATTCTGGTCAAGCCAAAGTCAAACAAAGTCAACAAGTCAAACCGGATGACAAATTTAGCCCTTATATACTAGGGTTTACATTGTGTATTTACTAAACAACCCGCTATTTTAATGAGAAAACATCAATTGGAAAATTCGTATGTTTGAATTTCCATAGCCGTGAAAATGCTAAACATTGAGCCAAAGCAATAAAACACTATTGCACACTCATCAGGAGTGTGTAGGACCTTAAAATATGGCTTAACGGGGTTTATGGACCTTGCATTGCGAAGCCGAACACTAAAAAAGGTCACAAACAAAACCTCTCTCAATCGTTTTCACTCTATCTCTTTCTATTTGAAATCTCTCCCAAATCTCTCTCAAAAGTTCCCGTGACTTTTTGAAGTCATTCGGGTCATTTCGACCCTTAACCGGGTCAAAAATCGCTTAAAACAAGGTTAGAACGGGTAAAATACCCCAAAGGATCCGGAACCTGCCCCTAGGGTCGAAGCCTCTTAGAGGTTGAACCCTCTTGGACCGGAACAACAACAAGCGAACCGCAGCAGGCGAGCCGCAGACAACGAGCCGTAGCCCCGACCGCAGCAAGCGAGCCGCCCAGCCGTAGCAAGCCTTCCGACCGCAACCTCTTCTCTTCAGATCCGCATCAGCAGCGAAGCTCTTCACTTCAGATTTTCCATTCTTCACCCGATTTTCGTCCACGACTCTGTTTTAAGTCTGTTTTTAATTATTTTAACACGGGATTTTCTCCAAAAATCATATCTTAACATATAAGACCCTAAATATTCATAATTTAAACATATTTTTATGGAAATATTTATTTAAGAATAAAATCTATTAAGTGAGATGTTGAGGTGGAGTGTGGATCTTGCCATAATATTTGACACAAACAACCACCCCATGCCGATTCCTTTGACCATCTATTGTACTCCCCACCACTCCTAGTCACCTCATGGTACTACCCTACTCATTTCCCAGCAAACCCACGTCCAAATGAGTTGGAAACCCCTCTCTCTCACTCTTCACTTCACTTATTTTCCTCATTTCCACCAAGTATCAAACATCACTTTTCTCTCAAATCCTCTCACTCCAAATTCGAGATTTAAGGGTTGATCATCAAAATTTCTCTCATTTTTGGTAAGTTTCATCACCCTCCTTGTGGTTATTACATTCCCTCTTACTCAAATCATAAATATTTTACACAAACATCATCACATTTATGTTAGATCTTCGAATCTTCAAGTGATCCTTCAAGTGTTCTTGAGTTGAACGCTTCACATCTTCAACATTCACCCACTGAAATCATATAAGGTGAGTTCATACCCCTATATTTTCATGTTTTTCTTAAGTTTTAAGGGGGGAATACAAGTTAAAACACCAAGAACACCACTAAGTTCTTCTAACAGCTTTCAACAGAAAAGTTAATGCTCATTCATGGACTGTTTGGACAACTTTAACATTTTAGTTTTCAAAAATGTTTTAGGTGAAAGTAGTTCCAGTTCTTAGCTTTAAAATGACTACTTGCACATCTCCACACGATTTTTCTACGATTTATGGTGATTTTTACAAAACTGTCTATCATTTCAAGAAGCAATTCGGACCAGTCTTTGATTATGGACGTTTTCACTCACGTTGGAGACCACTAAAAATCATGAGAAAAATTATGAATAAACTAGGCACATTTTTTGAACTCCCAGAATTTACGAAATCAATTTTCGACTTCATATGATTTTTCTAGGATTTTTATAAAACAATGTAGGAAAATAAAAATCTAGATAACAATTTATAACTTTCATCACACTTTGTAACTTGTTGAGCAAAGTGTTAATATTGAAGATTTCATATTTTACATGTGTTTTTTGATGTGGGATAATTACATAACAGATAAATACTCACTGAAGTGTAAGAATCCTCCTCCATTACCATTAGTACAAAACAAGAATGATAAACATAGTTATATTTTGCCACACATTCAGCTTACATAGAAAAGGGTTCTTATACACCATAAACAAACATACTACACTATACTAGGTATAGTTAGGTCACATATACATTACAAACAATTTGATAAGCTATAATATGTGTATTTTATGTTCATTTACATGACAAAAGGTTTTCATACGAAATGGGGTAAAAATACAAAGTACTGGTTTTATACAAAATGTGGTACAAATACAAAGTACTGATTTTATGAAAAAATGGGTACATCACAAAGTACCAGGTCTTCACATAAATGGGGTACGAATACAAAATATCGGGTTTATACAAAAGGAATACATCACAAAGTACCAGGTCTTCATATAAATGGGGTACGAATACAAAGTACTGAATTTATACAAAAGGGGTACATCACAAAGTACAAGGTCTTCATATAAATGGGGTACGAATACAAAGTACCGGGTTTATACAAAAAGGGGTACATTACAAAGTACCGGTTAATCTTAGTATAGATATAGTGACCCCCATAGGGAGTTAACAATATTTAAAGTATATGGGATTTTATAAATCAAAAAGGGGTTTTATGTTGATCACTTTTAATAACAATAGGTACTGATTTTACTTGTACGCTTTCGGTCTCAGTACTTGAGATCACATAAAACAAAACTCCCATGCACATCCAGTCTTGGGTTTTAAGACTACATATCGTTTTTATAAGAAAAATATTGGATTTTCTTGGTAACATACAACTCATTGCAAAGATCGGCTTTTTAACTCCTACTTTCAAAAGCTTATGAATTCACCAACTTAATTGATGACACTTTTTCAAAACTATTTGTATTCTCAGGAAATCAGTGAAACAAGAAAACCAATGGCATTTTGAGGATGGGACGTTAAATCGTCAAACAATTCATTTTGTCATCATAATGTAATTGATTTGAAACATGTAAACATATACTTTGGTGTAACTTTTTCAATTATATTTATGATGATTGTATTTACTTTGAACACTATTATACACGTTGTTGTGATACTATACATGAAGTCCGCCACCCCCGGACGTTTCCGCCATCCTTAGTTTGGGGGTGTGACAAGTTGTATTCAAATGGTTGATAGTGTAGACAAATTTGGGGAGCTTTACACTTGTGTCAACAAAGTGTATTGGCTTCAAACTTGGAAGGAAGCTTACTCTTACACTATGGACCCTATAAAGGGTAGAGCTATGTGGCCAAAAAGTACATGTCCAATGAAATTAACACCACCACCACATCACACTCAACATGGGAGACCAAAGACCAAGAGAAAGAGAAGTGTAGATGAAAAGTATGATAGTTAGGAGCATAAGCATGGTGCAAGTGAACCTGAAAAACTTACCAGAAAGCTTGTTAGTGTCAGGTGTGAGAAATGCAACAATATGGGACATAACTCCAAGACTTGCAAAGGTAAAGGAGGGAATGCAGGAAGCAGTCAAAGAAGGAATGCATGAAGCAATCAAGGAATAAATAGAGGTGGCATTCAGGGCAGGAGTTAGTGTATTTTGTTTAAAAACTTATATTTTGGTTTAAGACCACTTTTGTGTATTTGGATGTAATGGTTTAGAACTACTTTGTTGTCATGGTTTTATTTTGGTCCTTTAGACCTTTTGGTCATGAATTTAATGTCAACCTTTTGTGATTGTTAAAGAATGATGCTTATGGTGTATTTCTAATGGTTTACCACATTTAGAGGCTTTAATGACTTTGTTCTTAAACAAAAAATAAACATTAACATTAGGTGATAACTACATTACATTGTTATTACAACCATCAAAAGTACACATTTCTAAAGTTGTCCAAAATAACCCTAAATCGATATTACAATATCAAATAGCAAAAAACTAACACATTCCCCTGTTACAATATCATAATCCAAAAAAACCAAAAATCCATGCAACTACAGGGGTCCCTAATTCCTAAATCCTAAATGAAAAACACCTAAGCTACAACAAATAGTAAGCAACTTGCAAACAAACACGTCTTCAGTTTTGCCACTTGATAGTTTGCATTGTTGATATTTCTCAATAATCTGGGTATTATCAACATAAATCTTGCACACATTAGAGGATCAATCCATCTTAAGAATTTGCATCTGGAACCCTTTTAGATTAAAAAAAAGAAGATAAACATAAGGGTGATTTTCCAAACTGAGGGTAAAATACCAAGATGGAACACTTACCTGTTGAGGGTAGGAAAGAAACCATCAACCAGGGTTTGTTGATGTACAAGAGGTGTGAACCACCGCAACCCTACCACAGAAACACATCACCATTTCGATTGTTGATGTCTAAGAAATTGTGAACATAGAGTATGAGTAGGGAAGAATATAAAGCTCGTGAAGGTTGAAGATGGAAGAGTGAGGTAACTAGCTCCTGCTTTTATTTTGAATAAGGTTGCAAAAACGGTCCCTGTAGGTGGAACGACGAAAATACCCTCGTCTTTATTGCAGGTAACGACACATATGGACGGAAGTTAGTGTGAGGGACCAAAAACAATAGAAAAATCCAATTTTGGACTAGTGGTGCACCAACATTTCATTTTTGACCAAAAACACATAAATTTGTTAACCACAAGAAGTGTTTTTGCAATTTGTCATACAAAAAGTTATTAAATATCCATGATCTAGTTAGGACACACTATTGTTTTCACTTAGCGGTAGGCCTCAAGGTTAATCTTCCCTAATAAATAGAAATGTTTTTATAACATGTTATTCTCTTTTTGATTTGGACAAATGACATTTTTTTCTTATTTTTAGATTTTATTGTTTTCCATATGTAATTATCCTATTTGTTCAAAACAAATAAATGCCACATAATCAAATATTCTTCCCTTAAATCTCATAATAAATGCAAAATCAATCTTAAAATAAATCATAATCAATGCTATAAATAATACCGCCATGAAAACTACGGTCTATATTGAGAAAATTCATTGTCACTCATTTAAACTTTCCATATGTGTCGATATCTATTTCCGTAAATAATTGTTTAATGTTAAAAAAGTGATATTGATTTTTTTTCAATAAATCCATATAAAATACGTATCTCACACTTGGTTCCAATTAAAATAAAGTATTTAGAATTAGCGTTGATCGCACCCACGTTTCCTTGATGGCTTTCATCCTAAATTGCCAAGCAGCCTCATTTCCTTTAACATACTTGGACTTGCCTGTTGGGGCAAATATGTCTCTTTGTAGGAATTGTAAAAGGGTGATTGATAAACTAAAAGATCAAAAAAGCTAGAACTTTATCAATTGGCCGGAGGATTATTACCTTTCTCTACTCAAACCTCCTATCTGTCATTAAGAATTTGGAAAGCATTCGAAAAATATTTTTATGGGGTGACAATGCTACAACAACAAAATATATTGGTTCTTGGAACTATATTTGATATTGACATCTACATTGTAAGCCTATTTAAAGTCAAAGTGGGGAGAGGGAGTGAGACCCAATTCTGGAATGACAACTGGGATATTGTGCTTGTTGTTTCCAAAAAAGCATATTTGTCACCAACCTTTGTATCATCTTTAATTCGCTCCTTGAGTATATGGGTCCGAGTTCGTTATCTTATCCCATTGATTTACGAGAAAATTAATATCGAAGGAATCAGATTTAAGATTTACGTTACTCTATAATTATTATTCAATGAATTCTTAAAAATTTAAAGAAAAAAGAAAGTTCGATGCAGCTCTGATTACAATCAAAATCCAACTGAATCAAGTAAAACTTACAAATGAATTTGATTGTGATCGGTGATGACGTATACAATCAATCGTTAATCACGATGAAGAGAAAACAAGTAGCAAAAATCACACAAAATTCAAACCAATTTCATCCTTACGCATATCCACCGGCGTTTTGCCAATAACCGGAATCGTCGACGGCGGCAACACGTAACGTGATGAGAAATTACGGATCATGTACTCGTTCTCCGCCTCCGGATCTCCGTTTTGCAATGGTCCTTGGTCGAAATTAAGCGCGTAACTAAGAGGATCATACTGGAACTTGGAAGATTGTTTACCGAAGCTCTTGTTGTGATTGAACCGCCGTATGAACGTCTTCCACCGTGGACCGGCAACGATCTCAGACCACTCACGAACCTTCATCAAGGCGGCGATTCCTCGTGACCACAGAGTTCCATTCGATTTGTTGTAATCGTCGTCCTCCTCCGAAGACGGAACTTTCCGCCACCGGTAGGGTATGCAGAAACAACAAGTTCGATCGGGGAAGAGTGTTTGTGAGGAGGATGGGGAGTTTTGGTAAGATTCAGCGGCTCTAGGAGATAACTGAGTCGTCATGATTAGATACAGAGGTGTATTCCACCTTGAAACCCTTGGATATGGCGGGGATTACTGTGGGGAAGAGATATATACAGAGAAGAAGGGTTTAGTGCTAGTGTAGTGTAGGTGTTCTCTTTGCAACGGATAATTTTGGTGTATAATTTTTATATGTTAAAGCTTATAAAAATTATAAAAATGAGAAAATAAAATAAATAAAAGGTTTTGAACGAAAGTGGTAAAGAGACAGCTATAGGGAATTTGATTGACTTGGTCCACTAAACCTAACACTATAATTATTGGATGATTAATTAACGGCTGTCCCAGATTGGGTCCCTAGTCGCAACAACCCTTTTTGTCGCCTCTACGATTTATCGTTTATTTCTTAACAAATTGAAGTATAAAAATAAAACGATAGTCACTAAAATGTTTAAAATGAAAACCATAACATATATAATATAATAAAATAATAATGTCGTAAAGCTTATCATCAAATAATCTTATAATTTGCAAAAAACAATAATCGTGAAAAATGCTTGTAATCTGCGAATGACTTTTTGGAGGGAGACTATTTCTTGAAATTCGTTATGTTTGCAAGTTTAATGTTTCCAGATAAAATAAAATAATCTTTATTATTTAGGTCGGTGAATATTCGGGAAATATTATTTTTATATGAAATAAATATTCTGTGATCTCTGTCGAAGAAATTGGATTCGAAAATGATAGAAAATATTTATAAAAAAATTTGTTGATTCTAATTTTTCATTTAATTGTAGGATTATAAATTAAGCAACTAGCAAAATGCTAGCATCAAAATCAAAAAACATAAAAAATTACAAGGACATAGTTGTTAAAGCCGAGTCCAACCAACCAACCAACCAAAAAAAAAAAAACTATGATTAATCCCAAGAGAAGATTGTTGCGAATATCCATAAATAAGTCTTCGAATATCCATAAGGTACCTGGTATCGGACTAGGGATGAGTATTTGGATTGAAGGACCGGTTAGAACTAGTACCGAAAGCGGAATCCGGTGGAGCTGGTCGTGTCAAGACCGATACAATATTCTTGTGGATTATTTGAATTGAGAATCGGTAAAAAAAGAACCGGCAAAAACCGAAACCGTATGTTGTTATTTCTCAAGGATCGGTTCCAACATTAATGACACGGCAAGAACCAGTAGAAGCGACGGTCCGGTTCGGTTCCTATTTTGTAACGACCCAAAAATCAAGGGTAAAAAATTTATTTTTCAATACAGTCAAAACACATATATCTTTTAAATCCAAACATTCCAAAAACATGATTAATTAAAAGCATTCATCAGAGTTCGTCCCAAAATCATATATTGCAGAACACACGGGTGTGTGCGCTGTGATCAAGCCAGACTCTTCCTTTCGAAACCAATGATACCTGAAACCATAAACATAACTGCAAGCACGAAGCTTAGTGAGTTCGCCAGAGCATACCCATCATAATCTACATAATCCACGTAACCGCATAAACCATATCAATCACATATGTCATATCAATCATGTAAGACATATCAATTACATAAGCCATATCAATCACATAAGCATATAAGGATGTCGTGGGCTCCTCCTAGAGTCTTACTCCAGGATGTCATGGGCTCCCCCACATGGTCTTACACCTATGTGTCATGGGCTCCCCCATGGTCTTTACTTGGAAAGCCATGGGCTCCCCCACATGGTATGACATCCAAGCGCCATGGGCTCCCCCATGGTCTTTCATGCAGTATCACAAAGACAACCATCATTTCACACATCACATAAACAGCTAGTATACCACATATCATATAAACAATGCATATAAACATATAAGAATGTCGTAGGCTCCTCCCAGGGTCTTACTTCAGGATGTCATGGGCTCTCCCACATGGTCTTAAACCTATGTGCCATGGGCTCCCCCCCATGGTCTTTACCTGGAAAGCTATGGGCTCCCTTACATGGTCTGACATCCAAGTGTCATGGGCTCCCCCCCCCCCCCCAATGATCTTTACCTGAAAAGTCATGGACTCCTCCACATGGTCTTATATCCAAGTGTCATGGGCTCCCTCATGGTCTTTACCTGAAAAACCATGGGCTCCCCCACATGGTCTTATATCCAAGTGCCATGAGCTCCCCCAACTAACATACCACATAACATATAACTAACTAATATGCCACATAACACTACATAAACTAACGTACCCCATATCATAAAATGGGTAGGTCTTGGTGCCTTCGACCCATTGTTATGGTGAAGAGACTCATCTCACACTACCAAAGTCCCATGGATAAAACACTAGTTGCTAGATGACAGAATCCCAAAATGTCCATATCAAAACAACACCCAATTAAAAATTGGCTTCCAATACATAACCATAAGTCCATGCTTGGGGGTAAAAATACTATTTTACCCTTAACCTAACCTGGTCCAAACATACACTTTGAAGGCCCAAAAACCAATCAATGAACCAGGGCCCAACATATGGCCCAATTTTCCAAATTAGGCACAAACCTCCACATGGACTTATCTTATGGCCCAACCATTTATCCTAGCCCAAATATTTGGCATTCCAATGGTCCAACGCCTCATAATCATCAAGGTCCAGTTATGTCCCATCTATGACCTAATTTTACAAATTAGGCCCATACCCCTCACATGGGTGTTACCCTAAAGCCAATCCAAATATTATAGTCCATATACTTGTTCTTGGATGGCCTATCAATAGCCCAATCACCAATGCCCAACAAAAGGCCCAACTTAAGGCCTAAGCAAAATTAAGGTTTTCACAAAATATGATGATTAAGGTTAAATGTTCTTACTTAACCCATTAAGGACTTAATCCATTAAGTCTATCATCTTACTAGGTAAATCATACGGTGTGATTGGGTGTAATTCATAATTCAATTCCAATAGCCCAAAACGCGGATCCCAATAAGTGCAAACTAACAAATCCAAAATTAGGGTTTTTTAAACCCTAATTAGGGTTTCCAACCCAATCGCGTGCCCATTAGTCAAATGGTTAGATTTTTAGGTCAATTACGGTTAAATAAGTCGGACACCACCCACTACCAACTTGGGTAGTGGTGCTCAATGGCGGCTCACGGCGGTAGTTTTTTAGTAGCATTCATTGTTGCGTCGGATTCAGTGGCGCAGGATTGTCAGCTTGTCATGATCGGATGGATCAAGGATTAAAGGAGTCGAGAGAGGAGGTATCGTCAGGGCAGTTATTGTCAGACGGGGTGTCCTTTGGAGGTCATGTGGGACTATTCAGCATGTGTCTCTGGCTCAACAATCGAAAAGGTGTCCGATGTTTTGGATAGTTGGCAGGCAAGTTAGGACCAGGAAGGTCCCAACCGTTCTTAAGGAAAGCAGCCATGTGGCAGCAAGAGGAGTGGGGTGACATTCGTGATTTAGAGCCTGTATGGAATTGTGGGTTATTCGGTAGTTGCAATTGGCTGGTGACTTTTGTTCTTTAAGAAGCCTCATGGTATCACGAGTGGGAAGTATTCTATTTAGGTCGGTCTCTTGTGGAATCGGTTCAAGGATGATTTGAGGTGGGTAGTCTGTCAGAGAGACAGACCACCTCGAGGCTTTGGGTTTCAAATGGAATAGACGTGATCACGTTTCAAGGAAATCGTTCATCTTCGGATTCTAGAACCTGTGAGGGTTGGTTTTGATTGCCTTGGGAAGATTGGAGTATTCCCGGGTTTTTGGCTGTGGTGCTCAGGTAGTTTGGTATGACGGGGATGATGATGCATGACTTTGAGGATGAAGTCTAGTTTAAGTGTGGGAGAGTTGTAACGCCCTGTTTTAAATTACTCGGTTGGGGCCTCGAAAACCAAAGGGTAGGGGCGATTCGGTCTTTTATGGGTCCTGGGTTTTATCCGAAAGGTTTTAGGCTTGGAGGTGTCAAGGGGAGCATAGGGCTTCCTGTTAAGAGAAAAACTTTGAGACACACTTAAACAAAAGTTATAACAAGTATAATGCGGAATTGTTAATCTCGAAGGATATAAGAGCTCAACAATAATATTTAAGTTAGATGGTTAGGGAGTTAGTTGCAGAAAATATAGAAATGAAAATGACGACAATTGTTATATCAAGTATACACGTAAGTTGATTCATAATGAGGAATACATTCAAACCAAGTTAGTAAGTGAGATCAAACTTAGTGATTAAGTCACAAAGACTTGCTTTGAAAAGAGATTGTAACCAACTATGAATGAGTAAGTAATATAAGTAAGAAAGAGATAGAAAGGATAAATCCAGAGAAGTGTATTAGAAAGTGATAGATGCATATCAGTTACAAAGAGAATGAGCTCTATTTATAGAGACTCAAAGGTTACATCAGATTTGTTCTCTAAGAGTAACCATGCAAGGCATACTGGACAATAGAGAGCATTGAAATAAGACAAAATAGACTGAATAATAAAGAGAGACTGCAGTTTGGTCTGGCTTCGGCTGCGGTGGCTTGTGAGAAAGACTTGACTGCGGGTGCATAGCTGACTGTGGTAGCAAAAGTTCAAGAGGGTCACTTTTATGATTCAACACTTCCCGCCACCTTTTCGTGGATATAAAGTTCGTCGGAAACGAAGTTAGAATGAAGGAGTTATGACACTTTGTATTTATTGTCGATTTTAACCCCTAATGGAAATTAGTGACAAGATGATCCCATGCATGCAAGGTGGCCAACATAAGTGTACGCCCAACGTAAGTTGGGGTACGCCCAACATATATAGAGTAAATGGTCTCGAGTGATTGGAGACGTACGCCCAACGTACAACCATAGTCACTATACCCTAATTTTTAGGATGTGACAGTATATAAAGAACATTACACCCTCTAGGGTCAGCCTCTTTCTCATCCTTGAACCCCTCTTCGAAACCCTAACCTTTATAGTGAGAGTGTAAGCTTGTAAGGCCATCTTGGAGTGCATTTTGGTGTTCTTGAAGAGGAGTGATCATCTTGGAGTTTCATTAACCAGGGAAAAGCTTTTGGATCCAAGTTCTCCAGCTCATTTGCAAGTCTCAGAAGGTATAAAGCTTCTACCTTGTTATCTTATAGCTTGAGATCTAGATTAGGGCTTGTTTGGGGGTTTTTATGAGCTTTTGGACTATCTCTTGGGAGTTGAGCAACTCTAAAGCTCGGGAAGAGTAGATCCGAGGTCCTTTGGTCCATCTACTTCATAAAAATGCAATCTTGATGAGTATTCTAACCTCATGCATCGATCAAGACCCTTAGAAAGGTCTTAATGGGTTGTTGGGAGCATATGGAGCATGCAAAGGCATAAAGTTGCCAACTTTATGCCTTAAGACGTCTTAATGGACCTAGATCTTAAGTTTGATGTTGAAATCCTGAGTATTAAGCACTTGATGGAAAAGTAGCTTAACAGAGGAGTACGTTGTGCGTACATGCAGGTATGCGCAACGTACACCACTTTTAGTCAGTACACTTAGCGTACATAGGAGTACGCCACGCGTGCTCATTAGTTTTAGGCCTCGGGTTTGGCCAAGCAATGGACTTTGGGTCTTTAGGCTTTAGTAGACCATCAGGAGTCAGATGTTTTGGGCCAGGAATATGTTTGGGCTTAGGATAAGGCCTATTAGAGGGATTGGGCCCAATTGAGCAAGTTGGGCCATTAGTGGGCCATTACTGGGCTTGGAAAGCCTACCTAGTGTTAGGTTTTATTTTGAGGATTGGGCCTTAGGTTTGGATCATACTGGGCCAGGGGTAAAAGGGTCAAACATTTTGGGACACTCTCATGTTTGGAATAAAAGTTGTATTTGACTTATGTTTTGAAAACAATTATAACTGGATTTCTTAATGTATGACATCTTGTTTGCTTATTCTAAAATGAAAATTTTACTTTGAAAATTGGGTCGTTACAAGCTGAGTGTGGGCGGGGCCCGAATCTCATAGTGTTATTGTAGTATAGATATGTGACTGCTTGATAGGAGTAGATACACTTGTTGTCTGTGTGATACTTGTATGCATGTTAGTAGTAACGTGTGGGCGGGGCCCAAATCTCCATGCGGGTGGGCGGGGCCCATATCTCCTAGTTACATGTTATGTGTATGGTATTTGGTAATTTGGGGAGACTCACTAAGCTTCGTGCTTACAGTTTTCAGTTTTGGTTTTAGGTACTTTGGTTTTCAAAAGAGGAGCTCGGGATGATTGCAGTGCACACATCATTTGTTTAGCCTGGGATGTTTATACTCTGATATATTTTGATAGTTGTTATGATATTTTTAGATACACTATTTATGCTTTTTTAAATGATGATGATGATATTTATGGTTATATTAACGATTTAAAAATGAAAATTTTCCCGTATTTTTGGGAGGTTTCAAAGAAGGGCCAAAGCTTGCTAAAGTCGGGAACTTTCTGTCCATGAGGGGCTGGAGGAGTCCAAATCTGAACTCCTCACCCCAAAACGTGTTCATAACCATAAATGCTTCGAGAATAAGCTATAAATGCCCCTAAACTTTTGGGTGGAAAGATCTAACAAGAAAATGATCAAGGTAATGACTTTTTACCTTCAAATGAATGCCAAAACGAAGTAGATGCTGGATCTACAAACCCCTTCTCAGTCCATGCTTCTCAATCCTCAAGCCTCTTCAACAAATGCAACAAACACATACTCTTTTAGCCTCACACACACTCAAAAGGAGGTTAGCTCGATTAGGGTTCTCCAACTCATCGTGTAGCTCGATTGTGGTAAGGGAGGCTAGATAGAGGACTTAAGGTCCTTTAAATAGGGTGCAAACCCTAAAAATTAGGGTTTTTATGCACAACCACAACTCATCGAGTTGGGGTTCTCCAACTCGTCGAGTAGGTCCTAAAGTTCACGTGGCCTGATTCGTTTCTACACGATGAGTTGGGGCAGCCAAATTGTCAAGTAGGTCTAAAAATGTGAATATAAAAGCTTCAAATAGATACATGGGTGTCGGGATGATACATCGTCTTTCGGAAAATGATTTTCAATTTTTTCCATTCTCCAACTTTGGTTTCCTGGTTATCAACTTTGGGTAGTTTTACCTCCTTTTGCATGACTCTTTCGTTACTGGTTCTATTTTTTGCAAGGTTATTGACTAGATGTCGTCCTGGGGGAAGCCTTTGCCAGTTGCAGACTCTTACGGATGTACTTAGTCTCCTGTTTACGTTTTCTTTTTTGGGGTAGTTGCATACCCTCACTACTCCGGCACTAGCGGTTCCTTGGTTGTGTTTCCGGTTAAGCTCTGTGACTTTACATTTGTGTTCCATCGTTTCCTACTTTTCCATCCTCTATGCCTTTGTTGTACGAAGACATATGGGTATGCTTAGTGATACCCAGCCTCGCTTGGTGTTCGTGTTGACAATCTTCGATGTTTCAGGAGTGGTGATACTGTTGCTATCGTGCCCTTCTCCCCCCGGGCTATTCGTTTGGGGTTGGTGCCCTTTTCCCTTGCCTTGTGTGTGGGTTTTTGCTTTTTCGCGCTTGACAGTGTGGGTGGTAATTATGGTTGTGTGTCGCTTTCTTAGGATATGCGCGGTAGCCCAAGTGGTGATCGCCTGAAGTGGTTTTGCCAGTGTGCTTAGGGTTGTTATTGTTGCTGAGTCGCTGGTTGTTCTGAACTTTACTGTACCATGTATTGTTGATGGGATGACCTATAGTCGGAAGAGGGCAAGTCTCCCTAGGATCATGTCGTCTTCTGACTTGTACTTAACTACCAAGAACTCGATTATCCTTGTTACCCTTTCCTTTCCATCGTGATTGAGTAGTGTCAATAGGAGGCTTATGGTCCAGAGCGGCCATAGCTTGTGACTTGTGAAGCCAACAAGTGGGGATCGGGTTGGGGGTTTTAGGTTCCTCTTCTAGGATGGTGGGAGTCGTTCAAAACAGTGCTCATAGAGAACGTCGGTGTTGCTACCTCCGTCATCTAGGGTTGTCCAGATCTCATGTTGTTGGACGAGGGAAAGGATTATGATTGGGTCTGTGGGGTCGTAATCGGGCACTCGTGGGTTTTCAAGTGAGAAGCTTATGTTGGGAGTATCGTCGAGTGAGCCGTTGACGCTGTTGGCTAGCAACCAACACCTGGCTCTATTCTCGGGCCTTACAATTGCGAAGATTTTCTCCTTTTTGATTGATTGTTTTCGGGTTCTCCCATCTTTCCGCGTGGCTTCGAACTTTGATCATAGAGTCTTTGCGATGTCCATTAAGTCTCCACTCGGTTTTTTGTTTTCTCCTTCCCTTTTGAGGATCACACACTCTCCAATGTCGTGGGTTTTTCTCTTGTGGTATTCGCAATATTTTCTTTTCTCTTTTTCATCCACTGAGGGATTTTTCTACCACGTGTACTTCCATCTTTATGGTTCCTGGGCTCGTCTTTGAAGAATGGGAGAAATCTTCAAGATGAGTGTCTCAAATGTCTGTTGTGTTAGTCGTGACTTCCATCGTTGCACTCCATGTGGCTATGGTGGTAGTGGAACCGGCTGATTCTTGTTTGAGGTAGGCGTTCACTACAACTTTTAAATTGGCTTGTTTGTGTTCTTCTCCCTCAATTTTCCTGAGGTATTTTTTAACCCTATATTTGAGCTTGTCCCTTGATTTTGGCATTGTTCCTTGCATTTTCCTCAATAGGGGGCCTAGGAGTAGTCCCTGGGCGAAGGCGCTCATGACTAGGAATTCCTGTTGACTGGCGACACTTAGGATCACAAGGGTTAACCGGTCATAGTATACTCCGATAGATTCTCTCTATTTTTGTTTGCAATCCATGATAGAGTCGGCATCTCCTTTGACTTTCCTCAACAACATGAAGTTGTGGAGGAAAAGATACCTCAGCTGTTCAAAGATGGAGATACTCCCCGTGCGTAACACCTTGAACCATTTACTAGCATTTCCCAATAGTGTGACCAGGAAGTAGGTGTAGGTGAATCTCATGTCTATCTGGAGGGATGCCATCGTCCACTCGTAGGTGTCTACGTGTTCGTCGGGATCTGTCGTGTCGTCATACTTTGGGATGTTTGGGATTGTAACACCCCGTTCCTGGTACGCATTTAAAACATTATTTTTCTTCTTATTTTAGAAGCTACTCGACGTGTCAGTGGCCCTAACTCGTCGAGTAGCAGCGGGTCAGCACGTGAAGTTGGCATGGCGACTCGACGAGTCCATATTCCTGACTCGGCGAGTCCGCCAGTCTGGATGAAGCCCTAATTTTCAGGGTGTGTACCCTATTTAAACATCATTATAGCCCCAAACCAGCCTCCTTCACCTCTCAGAGACTTATTCCTGAAACCCTAGCCTCCTTGAAGTGTGTGTGAGTGATCTTTGCCCTTGTGAAGGAATTTTTGGTGCATTGTTGAGCAAGAAGAAGAAGAAGAAGGTAGAAGAACTCAAGGACGAAGAAGTAGATCCAGATTATATTCTTCTTTGGCCATCCTTTCTGGTAATAAAGCTTTCATCTTGATTATTGTACTACTAGATCTAGTTTGTCCCCAAATTGATGGTTTTGAGCTCAAAAACCCCAAATCCCTAGTGATGAAGCTTTGTAAGCGAGCCATATCTCGGATCTAGTCTCTCTTGAGCTCCAGGAGCTCAAGAAGGCCACCTTTTGATAGCCATGGTCTTGTTTTAGTCAAATAATCCCCATAATAGCCAAGTTTGAGTGCTATTGCTTCATTTCATCATAGATACACGTAAAGTTAGCAACTTTACGTGTTCAGATAGTCCCAGAAACCCAGATCTATGTATTGGATGCACTTAAGCTAATTAGAATCGACTGAATTGAAACTGCATGCCAAGGACTCGACGAGTCGTTCTTCTGACTCGGCGAATCAGGTCGCGAGTCTTAGATTCCTGGTTCAGTAGTAGCGAGTCTGTTTAGTGAGTGGAGTAAGGACTCAATGAGTTAAGTCATGGATCTGAGTGTAGAGGCACTCGGTGAGTCTACGCCCTGACTCGGCGAGTCCAAGGCAATCTCCTTACCCATAAGAACAGACTCGACGAGTTGAGGATTACAGACGGCCGTTAGGGTTGGGCTGAGGCACCAGTGGTGAAGAGTAGAGTTTTCCAGATGACAGCAGAGGAGGCGCGGGCGACTCCTGATGTGGTGACATGTATGTATTTTCCTCATATCTTTCTATTTAGTATTTATTATTTCTCATGGTTATGTGTTTGTATATAGGGTTGTTCTTAGTGAACGGCATTTCAGCTACAATATTGTTTGATTCGGGGGTTACCCGATCATTTGTCTTGCTTGCGCTTAGCAAGCGGTTTAGTAGAGCTCCAGGGGAGCTGGACTGTCCACTTGAGGTTGATATAGCTGATGACAGGATTGTCAGGGTCGTGAGGGTACACAGGGGGTGTTTGTTACGGTTATTTGATGAGAAGTTTTCAGTATACATGGTTCATATTCCCCTGCGAGGGAATAAGGTCATAATGGGTATGGATTGGCTGAGCCCCAATGGGGAAGTGATTGATTGTGAGCTGCAGTTAGTGAGGGTTCGCACCCCTAGTGGGGGAGAGTTAGTGATTCGGGGCGAGAGGCCACATCACGGACCGATTCTTTGTTCAGCAGCGAGAGCGAGGCGCTACTTTCAGCAGGGTTGCGCGGGTGACGTCGCCTATGTTTTAGATACCTGGTAAAAGGGCAAGGCGATAGTTGACGATGTACCGGTAGTACGAGAGTACCCAAATGTATTTCCAGAGGATTTGCCTGGGATACCTCCTGAGAGACAGGTTGAGTTCAGGATTGACCTGGTTCCTGGTGCAGCTCCAATAGCCAAGGCACCATATCGGTTGGCTCCTCCCGAGATACATGAGTTGTCTATGCAGCTGCAGGAGCTGTTAGACAAGGGTTTTATTAGGCCGAGTAATTCACCATGGGGAGCCCCGATCTTGTTTGTGAAGAAGGACGGGTCACACCATATGTGTATAGATTACCGGGAGCTGAACAAGGTGACGGTAAAGAACCGTTACCCACTTCCGAGGATAGATGACTTGTTTGATCAGCTTCACGGAGCATCTTGGTTCTCCAAGATTGATTTGCACTCCGGTTATCATCAGATGTGGGTCAGATGTAAGGATGTATAGAAGACCGCTTTTAGGACCCACTATGGTCATTATGAGTTCGCGGTGATGCCTTTGGGCTCACCAACGCACTGGTCACGTTCATGGATCTCATGAACCGCGTATGCAGACCGATGTTAGATCGGTTTGTGATAGTGTTCATCGACGACATCTTGGTCTATTCCAAGACTCATGAGCAGCACGAGGAGCACCAGAGAGAGGTGTTAGAGACACTAAGGATGGAGAAACTATTCGCAAAGTTCTCCAAGTGTGAGTTCTGGTTGCGCGAGGTGTAGTTTTGTGGACACCTCGTCAACCAGAAGGGTATATTAGTAAATTCGGCTAAGATAGAGGTCGTGATGCAGTGGGAGGACCTGAGGTCTCCATCTGAGATTCGGAGCTTCCTAGGTTTGGTAGGGTGCTACAAGAGATTCATCCAGGATTTCTCCAAGATAGCAATTCTTCTCACTTGACTGACCAGGAAGTCAGCGACATTTCGTTGGGGGCCTGAGTAGCAGGAAACATTTGAGACCCTCAGACAGAGATTGTGTGAGGCACTAATTCTTACCCTGCCAAAGGGAGTGGATGACTTTGTAGTCTACTGTGATGCTTCGATCACATGTATGGGAGCAGTGTAGATGCAGCGAGGGCATGTCATAGCTTATGCCTCTAGACAGTTGAAGCCTCACGATGCTAACTATCCGACACAAAATTTAGAGCTGGGGGTTGTGGTGTTCGCCATCAAGATTTGAAGACATTGATTCTATGGAGTATGTTGTAACATTTACATGGATCACAAGAGTCTAAGATACCTTATGGATCAGCTGAATCTAAACATGAGGCAACGTCGGTAATTAGATGTGGTTAAGGACTATGATTGTGAGATCCTTTATCATCTGGGCAAGGCCAACGTAGTGGCCAACCCCCTGAGTCGCAAGGCGATGACGGCCCCGATCAAGGATATATGTCTGAGGATCACAGTGATTACTCCATTTTTGGAGCATATTAAAGAGGCACAGGTTGAGGGCCTAAAGGAGGAGAGATAGAAGTGTGAGAGGATCGTGGCCGAGTAGCTTTATGGGAGAGTTTAGGTGCCGTACTGGGGAGGAGTACGGCAGGTGTTGATGGATAAGGCCCACAAGTCTTGGTTCTCCATCCACCTAGGGGCGACGAAGATGTACAGAGATCTTCAACCCGATTATTAGTGGCCCTGCATTAAGCGGGACGTGGCTTGGTACGTGGAGAGATGCTTAACCTGCAGGTTGGTCAAGGTAGAGCACCAGAGACCCCACAACAGGATGCAGTCATTAGACATTCCCGTGTGGAAATGGGAGGATATCACCATGGATTTCGTTACTAAGCTTCCTAGGACTGCACGTGGAGTTGATTCGATTTGGTTCATAGTGGATCAGTTGACCAAGAGCGCACATTTCATACCGATCCAGGAGAGCATATCGGCCAAGAAGTTAGCCAATATTTATGTGCGTGAGGTTGTGGCACGTCACGGAGTGCCTGTTTCGGTAGTATCAGATCGAGACGTCCGGTTCACTTCCAGGTTTTGGAAGCGGTTCCATGACGACATGGGGACTCGTATCCTTTTCAGCATCGCTTTCCACCCTCAGACGGACGGACAGAGCGAGAGGACGATTCAGACTCTCAAGGACATGCTTCGGGCATGTGTCCTATATTTTGGTGGCAGTTGGGATATGTACCTTCCATTAGCAGAATTTTCGTATAACAACAGTTAC